CAGGGAGGCTGCTTTACTTCACAAAGGAAACGGCGGTCAATATTAACAACACAGGAGCTAAAACGCTTAATAACCTTCATTACGTGTTAGAGAAAGAACATAAGAAAGTTTGACAAAGATGAGGCTGTTAAACGGGCAGCCGAGCCGCTGTGCGTAGAAAGAGAGAGAGAGAGAGAGAGAGAGAGAGAGAGAGAGAGAGAGAGAGAGAGAGAGAGAGACGCTGAGCTGCACCATGCAGCGATCAGCTGATACGGAGCATAGAGAGAGAGCTGCGGTCCGCGGGGCTCGGCCTCCGCCTCCTGCCCCCACAAGTCTTATTATTCCCGGCACAAATTGTTATTTGTTCTTACTCGGAACCGAGTTTTGCTTCCCAACCCTGCCACTGTGCTACACGTCCCGCCCGCCCCCTCTAACAGTACAGGAAGCGGCAAGATGCATTTCCTTAGGAATCGACAAGCAGAACCGAAACTAACATTTATGGGCGAAAAACGTCACTTGTCCGTCCAACACGTCAATGGAAAGATGTAATTTGTCCGATATGATAAATAGCACGTCCCAGACGATCGGATGTGTGATTTTTCGCACACTGCATGTTGCCGCTCGCATAAAGTTAGCTGAAATTAACCAGCTAGATTTCACTGTTTCTCGTTTTATTTCTTTTCTCATGCTGCGCCTCCCCTGAAGCTCTCTGGCGCCCCCCAAGGGAGGCGCGCCTCACAATTTGAAAACCGCTGATTGTCATGTCCTTTCTCTGTTCCCCTCAGCCCCAGAGTCTGGTGCTTGGTCTTGAGGAGTGATTAGTCCCATGATGAAGGCCTGTTGCTCCTGGCAGGGTCACAAGGTCAACTCAGGAAGCTCTGCTGACCCAACGCTGTCAGTTTGAGTTATTCCCACCAGCAAATACCTTTACTGTCTCACAGTTAAAACTTTAATGCACAGACTGCTGAAAACCTTGGAGCTTAATGTCTTAATAAATACAAAGGTAATGATGTTGTTTCTGGGCTGCCGTACGTCAGAGTGGAGTTTTTACTTTTTGTCTAAGGCTGCGTGAGTCATCTGAACCTGAAGAAAGCAACAATGGCTGCTAAATATAGTGCAACATGTATTAAATTAACAATGTTTTTTTACCAAAGCTGCAGTACCTTTTCAATCACTTAAGAAACATCAGCACATTAAATCTCTCTCTGTCATATTAAAAACCAAACTCCTGCTTTAAGGTTAGATTATTGATTATGTTGTGATCACATACTTATTGATTTAAATCAGAGATATTTCAATTTTTTGTCTAAACGTTGGCATATTTGGCTGGATTTAATATGAAGTATCAAATAAAGTATTCTTTCAATAAAAACACACACAAACTTGATACTGGTACCTTACATATTGAATATCAAGCACCATATTTATATTCATAAGGATCACTGTTAAATGTTCTAAATAAACTGCACATTTATTAGGTTTTGATTTGATTTTGTTTGTATTTTACTTTAACATATTTTTATTTGACATTTTACAATAACTTCTGACGTTCATATAAATATACGTTTTTGATTTGATAATTTTAATGCAAATTCTTACTTGTGTTAATGCAAATATTTAAAAATAAATGTCACCAATATTTGAATTTATTTAATCATTTCTCATGGAGATCAAGAAACTTAAATTCCAAGATAATATTCTGATAGTTTACAATAAAAAGTAATTTAAGAAATTAAAGAATATTGTAGGTATATGACAGCAGTTTACTACAATCAAGTTTTTCATAGAAAGCCTTTTTCAAGCCATCATGTTGCTGAGCCTTTTATCATTTAGTTTGCAGCTTGTCTTCCCCCCCCCCCGACAGAGCAGCAGCTCACCTTCAGGTCTTCTGGGATGAACACCTTGCGGGCTTTTTTGATCATGGGCTGCGGCTTCAGCTCCTCAGCGGAGAATTTGCGTTTCCTGGGGTCGAACATCTCCTGTCCGGGCACGCTGGACAGAGCCAGGTCCTGGGGGTCCGGCTCGTAGGAGATGGGCACCTGGATGGACTCTGGGTCGATGGGGCTGGAGGTGTCCCGGGCTGAGAGACAAATACCATACATTAGCATAGTGCACAGATTCATCCCATTTTGTGGAGGAAAACGCCAAGCACCTCTCATTCTGAGTGTAATTGTAACATTTAAAGGGCAAAGTGCCACATCATTTTGGGGTGATTGGTTATGCAACGTCCTCACCAGCAGCTCTTCTAAGTGAAGCCCTTAAGGCTGGCGGGAGGAGCAGCTGTGTAAGGAGAACTCATAAGGAGCAGGGGGGCTGACAGGGGGGCTGACAGGGGGGCTGACAGGGGGGGCTCACACGGGGGGCTCACTGCTACCTTTCCTTGTTTTTTAACTATGATTTTAGGCTGCAACTGAAGACTAATTGCTTGATTTTAGTCTATCAAATGTGAGGAACTACTCTAAAAGTGCAAAGTAATGTTTTAAAGTGCAATTTTTCTATCCAAAACCCACTTTAATATAATTTAAAACAAATAAAGGCATAGTATTTTCATATTTGAGAGGCTCGAAAATAGCCTTTTCTGACATTTGAAGTTAACGAGGAATTGAAGAAAAATATGTTTTGCTTTTTCAAATTGAAATGTCCTAAAGAAAATGTGAGGAGGAGGTTCTGTATTTACCAAACCATGACACTTTTCAAATCAACATCTGCAAATTGCCAATTTTTATTTTCTTGATAATATGAAAGATTTATTCAAATGCATCTGAAACATTTGGGGAAATTGTGCATGTTTTCAAAAGCCCAAAGATGTTAAATAAGCTATTCATATTAATTTGCAGTCTATCAACCTACCCAATTGTTTTCCTAATAATGGTAACACATGTGGCCATCTGGAAAAGCTCATTCTCTTTTTTCCAGTTTTTATAAAACAAATTATTCAGAAAATACTGTTTCCTTAAAAAAAAAAAGAAAGATAAACAGTATTACAAATGTTTATAGAAGACGAGGAACTTTAAATGCATTTCTTAGCACAACCTTGTTTTGTAAAAATTCAACATTCGACAACTGTTGGTACATTTCTAGAAAAAACCCAACAGAAAACCTGTCCAGAGGAGTATATTCCCCATCTGGGCAGCAGGTGGGGCTCTAACACCAGCTTTGAAATTCACAGGTGGGGAAATAATGTGTCTAATAGTTTTATCTCAAACGGTGCAGCTATCAGCAGCTCAGCTGGTCTCAGAGCAGCTGTTATCTTCTGAAGGAGATCTGCATGCCTCCACGTCCGTCTTCCTCATGTGCCAAGCTTCTCTAATTGTTCCTTTTGCGCTGGGCCAAGGAGCTGAACTGGATGAGCCGCAGATCCAGATCAATTTCTCTGTGATCCATTACATTAGGGCTCATTTGTTTTCGTCGCACGGACCAAACCTGCGTTCCCCCCGCTCGATAGTAGAAGCTCGATGAGCATGACAACCATCGGGGATATGACTGCAGCAGCAGCGACATTTTCATTAGCTGCTGTTATGCTGCTGCAGTCAGTACATCATGACCTACATTTCTGTGTGAGCTCGCCATGACAGCCAGTCAATGCGGCTGACCTTCAGTGAGAGTGTGTGTTCGTGGTCAGAATGCTTTGGACATTTGAGGAGGGGCCCACAGATGAGAATATATGAGAATCAAACAGCAAGTGTTTGCTGTACATCAGAGGAAGTGATTGGTTCCGTCACAGACATGCCACAACAAACGTGTGAAAGACTATGCAGGACTGTTGAAACTGATCATTGTCAGCTTGTTAAACTGAGCTGTAATGCCGAGAAAATGTGAAAAAATCCCTCGATGAAAACATAACAATCGGATATTTGCTTTGAGGAGGTGTTTATGTTGCAGCTCATTTAACACAAGGTATGCTGGGTAAAGATGGAGATTTTCTATTTGATGCATTAATTTCACCTTTATTATTATATCATGTAACCCTTAACAACGACATCCCAATCAAAACAATAAGATTAAGAATAATCAAATAAGAATTATAAGACAGATAAATAATTTAAAGTTATGTTAAACCATGACAGTTAAAGGTTGGGAGGTTTAAGATGACATCTGAAATGTCCAAAATATATATTGATTTTAAAAGAGGTTGTGCGTTTATCAAACTATTTGTTTGTGAACATGTGTTTCTGGAAATTGTTGAAAATTATTCTTTATAAATTGATGAAATGTATTTGAAAAAATGTAAAAATGTGCATCCAGTTTCCCAGATCCCAAATGTACTGTTGTCATTAAAACATTTTTTTCTGTAAATCAACTTATCCATGTTTTTCCCATAATGGGATAAAAACACTTGTGGCCATTTGGAAATATGAAAAAATGTTTCCTGCTTGTTGTAAATTATCAAAGAAATTAAACCTGGGTTTTTTCCCTTTGCATTTAATGTATTTTAAGATTATAAGAAGAATGTTCAAGAAGACATTCTTGCGTCCTCTTTATTTCTAGCTATGGTCGTGCTGTTTCCAAAACAACTCAAGAAACTGCTCCGGGTTCAGAGGGTTTGAACCTATTGATCCTTCTGCCTTCAGAAGGTCTGACCACCAGCCATCAATCACCTGACTTGGTGGAGGTAACGCATCCTTAAAGGTAAGACCCACAGCTCCCAGACTGCAAGCTTCTTACCCACTAAAACCAGCCGCTGTGAGTCAATCTGTCCGGCCTGCAAATAGCCAGCAGTGTCGCCTTAATCACCTTTACCGCTCATTTTGATGGCCTTATTAGCGGAGTTAAAACACGGGCTAAAAGTACATGCCCGCTCGTTAACCCGGAGTGCCCTTCCACACATTCCAGTGGAGAGGAAGTCGATAATTCACAATCAAATAGTCCCCCTCCTTGCACAGGAAATCTAAAATGAGGCCAGGAAAGGTAGCTGTGAGCCGTGTGAAAGCTGAACTCATGCATACCTTGCTGAACAGGTTTCATTTTGACGTGGCAGTATTTATGTGTTTACACACAACGCCGGCTGCAGGTTGCTGTCACGCTACATGATGGTATCAGAGTGTTATCACGGTGCTGTGTGGTGATAGTACTATAAGCTGTGTTGCAGGTTGGAATGCAGCACTCTGACCTGGGTGGGACCGACAGCAGCCACACACTGAGAGAGCTTTGCCCTTTAGCCCCTAATTGGCTTTAAACTAGTTTCAGCATTTTCGGAAGATCAACCTGGTTTACGTGACCACACAGTGATGTTCTACAATATTTTAATCCTGAAAAAAATAAAGACCAGAAATAAGATTGTTTTCTTTCTACTAACACCTATTGTGTGTGTCCACGGATACCTATTCTTCCATAGAGCTGATTGTGATCCAAAAAGCTATTAAAAACAGCTCCTGCATTCCTGACACTGTGTATTACTCAAATACACTGTCCTGCAGCTTTAAATACACACTAGATAGATTGTGTTTCAATCCACAGCTGAAAATAGTCCAAAACAGATGCCGTTTCCTCCAGTTTGAGTAACTTTTGATAAAAATATAGTGTTTTAGGAATTAGGAAGTCTTTAAAAAATGTGTTTGAGTCCTTTTTATGTCTTCAACAGATAGTATTATATGTATTGATAGACAGACTGACTCATCTTTGGTTTTGGACCTTTTAAAAAAAATATTTAACAACATAAATAATGACATGCACTTGATCATCATTATCATAATTCCTCAAGGTCACTTAGGCAGGACATGTAGGTCCCTTCACCGCATGACAAGACATTACTTTGAAAGAAACTAGGCCAGAGGAAACTGGCTCTGACACTGAGAAAGAAAAACATGTGTACTCAGTATTGAGTGATTGTACTCTGACACATTATTCCTCCACGATGATAAATACAAGTACTCTACATCTAGTTCCTAAAATGTGTTGATAGATATCTTTCGCTGAGCCAACTTTTCTTGACTAACACGCAGGAATGCACCACAACACACCCTCTGACCCCCCCCTTCATCCGAATGCCAGCAGCGTGCAGGGGTCACACGTCCTGAACCTGGCCCCGGCACAGACCCTTAAAGTCTGCAGGCTGCTCAGACTGAGAAAAACAGCGAAACGCCCACTCGCTTGTGCGTTGGCTGTGATAACAATGTTATCAGCCGCCTGCTGCGCTGCTTGCAAGCACAGAGGGATGGAGGTTTGTTGTGGGGGGGGCTGGTTAAACGAGACGAGGCTTGGCGAGCTGGAACAGTATTCGGGCACACGTGACCAAAGCACAGCAGGCTCCATGTGATCTCTGCAGGGAACAGCCTGAGCCTGTGCCTTGGCTCTGAGTCCGGGCCAGAGTCGGAGCCGAGCCCGAGAGAGGGAGGGAGGGAGAGGAGGACCGGATGGGAAGTGGAGAGTGTTAAAGGCGAGGGGAGAGCGAGAGGAAGGAAGGTTTGTGCCGTGACAAGCTTCTGTGACAAGCCTGCATGTGTCTGTCACATGGCCCAGTGCTCCGCAGGAGACCCCAGACATGTTCATGTGGGAGGTAAATGTGAATGTGAAGATGCAAACTGAACACACACATCCAGAATGCACACAGATAGAGTGTACCGTACAGGTCGCCTTCATTTATCACTCATCTTAGACTTGAGAGGCTAAGGCCAAATTATACTTTTTGCATTCGTGTGTTATTGAGGGGGGGCTGAGGTCCTTATGACTCATCATCCCCTGAGTTCGCCTATATCCCCAAATGTGTGACTGTGCAAACTCTGAGCTCAGAAAGTGCTCACTCCGGTTTGGTTCCAAACTCCAGTCCAGTTGGTGAAGTATGCACCTTTGGCTGGTTTGCCAAGAAGAAGAAGAAAAAAACCTCAACCGATTGCTTGTGTTGAAGAGAGATTATGTGGGGAGGAACATTTTAAATGACAATTGTTCTCCTTATTTCTCAGCGCAGGCAGTTTGTCTAATGGTAGAGGATAAGTGTGTGTGGCAGGTGTGTCTGGAAGGTGTGTGTGGCAGGTGTGTCTGGAAGGTGTGTGTGGCAGGTGTGTCTGGAAGGTGTGTGTGGCAGGTGAACAAACAGCATCACAAGCCTTTTACAGCATCCCCTGAGGCAGTGGAGGTGTGAACAAGGGTGTGAAAATTAAAGTAGGCCACAATGATTACGAATTGATTTATAGTACATTATATGGACTTCGATAAGTAACCCTATTAACTAAGGTGCAATTTTGTGAGCTTGACCTCGATCATTTATACAATATTAACTTATGGCACAATATGTGGAAACCACCTGGATAACGTTCAGCTGACCTTGATAATTCCTGTTGTGTTTACATGCCTGTTTGTTTGCTTATATGTCACCAACATGTTATCATTATCAACATTTAACAGCAGGGTTTCCCTACTAATATTAGACTTCATAATTGTTTTATTAAAGCCGTTTTATTCAAAGTGATTGTTTTCATTTCATATTTTTATTTGGGATATGTTGATACATTCATTTTTTGTAAATCTGTTTTAGAATTCAAAATTCATGGCTTTTTGTAAATGTATTTGCAATATTATACTATTATTGTCCTTAAATAGTCTTCAAATGACAATAATATGATTCATTGTAATTATTTCTGGTATACGGAAGAGGATTATATGGACACGTGCAATTTTTGTGTATCTGCCGATCAGTGTTTGCTTTATCAAGTTCTCAGAATTCTGACTTAAATCTCAGAACTCATGCTCTAATCTCAGAACAAAACAAAAAAAGTTGGCCTTAATCGTCTTCCGTACCGGGAACCAAAGTAATTATTGTGACAGGCCTCAGTTTCGGTGCCGTGGTTCCTACCTGCTGAGCCGGGGCTGTGGAGGCAGGTCTGAGGAGCCATGGTGGTGTGAACCGAGGTGGTGGCGCGGCTGCTGAGGTCCACCACGCTGGGTGAAGGTGTGGGGGGGGGTGCAGGCGGAGATGCCCGAGCGCTCCGTGCTGCCTGCAGGGCCTGCTCGCCCTGGGCTGTGTTGGCGGGGATGCCGTTCTCCGACAGGAACTCCTCCAGGTCCATGTACTCCAGCTGGAAGTTGTCCCCATCGTACGGCAGCGTCTTATCCCACAGGGTCGGGCCGAGGAAGGCCGACTGCGGGTGGTTGGCTGTGCTGCTCTCATCGTCCAGCTTCTTCTCTTTCTCCTGGTCCTTCCCAAATCCTGTGAATATTTGCACTAAGTCATTTCATTGTCACAGCACAGGAGGATCACGGGTCAGCACATGGGTATAAATAGAGAGTATGCTTCAGGGAAATCAACTTCATTATTATTAAGGCTTTTAAGTTGTTCTTAATAGCCTTTGTATATGTATAATATAATTGGTTTATAGATATGAAAAAACTGCAGTTAAAGATTGTGTCGTGATTAAATTACATTGCCAAATGTAGCCATGCTGAGTTGATGTGTGTAGCATAGATGAAAACAATTATAGACTTGACTAAAAAGACTGCATCATTGGTTAGGAGACTGCAGGATTAGTTATGTGTTGTTATGTAATAACAGCTGTGTAGTGTGAACAACATCACTGTGTGTTTAAGAGATTGAAATTAAAATAAAATGTTTGCTTGATAAAGGATATGGATAGTAGCCTTAACTGGTAAGTAAATATATACATTTTTCTCAATCTCAAGCATTATTATTATTATTTGTTTGCTCTATGCTACCCAACATTTCTGACACTGGTCTAAACTATTGAATTGAAATCTATCCAAATAAACCAAATCCATGTGCATGATTAATTGGGGAAATGTGTTCCCTTAAAGATTAAAAATGACAATGTAGGCTAGTTACAGAAAACACATTTAAAAACACAATCAGTTTGTTATGAAAACATACACAAAAGCTGCATAAAAGAAAAGACGCCCTCTGTGGACAGACTGCGATATCACTAATATAAATCCCATAGAAGGTTTAAAGGTTATGAACGCACCTGCGAGCTAAAAACAGCGCTGTCAGTCACAACACGATCAAATTAGTTCATAATAATTTAATTTAGATCGTAAGCAAAAGACAAACTAGCTTGTTAACTTGAGCTGAAGTTCGTGTCAATCTGTCAGTCAACGAAAAAACAGCCAAAACAATCATCATTCTATTTTACTTATCTCTGCTGCCTGGAAAACCAATACGATAACTTTATTTTTCGACAAAGATCGTGTTAATATTATGAGATATCACTCTGCATGATTTAAGTTGATCTGTGTCTTAACTGCGCTGTATCTGTCAAAACCGTCAGAACCCATGGGTGTCTACAGAATAAAAACAACCAGCGGATAAACATGACAGAAGGGGAGACGAAAGGCGAGTTAGTGTAGATGCAAGTTAGCTACTTTAAAAACAAAAACATACCTTCATCGTGATGGAAAGGCAGCTTTAGCGGGTTTTCCAGCAGGGATTTCAGCACGCCGTGAGTCGGCGGCAGGAAAGTTGCGTTTATAGGAAGAGGTCTGGCCATTTTCTCCATATGTCTTGAAGGGCAATTGGAGAACAAAATCTCGCAAAGTCAAAGCCGAATGTCCCCCCCTAAATAAGAGACACGACCCAACTAGCTTGCCGGTCCCTCGGAGATCCTCGCAGACGCGGTGTAAACGACGCCGGGGCTCAGAGCGAAAACACGGGACTCCGCGCAGCAGCAGGACGGTGAGCGGCTGGCTGCCTGTAGACGGAGCTGGCTGGCAAATAGCTGGAGGAGGAGGGCGGGCTCTGACGGAGCCTCTACACTTCATCCACGTGCGGAGCGGAGCGACGCTGCTGACGTCAAAGAACCAGAGGGCGGCAGCGCTTACTGATGCTCCCTTCACAGACAGTGGGATATTTAATGTCTGAGGCAAACCAAATAAATTTAAAAATATATATATATATATTTCTTCGACTTTGTTGCTAATTTTTTTAATAATATTTATATTTTTGTTGTCTTTTAACATTTCTTTATCGTTAAAAATAGTAAGTTTATTTTCCTATTTAGTTTTTTCCCCATATATTTCATTATTATTTTTTGACGGATTGTCTGTTGTATAAGCTTGTTGCTTCTTGACCCCTCCACTAAAAATGGTTTGTGAGCAATCAAAATAAAATAAAAAGAGAAAAAATGGATACTAGAATGAATTTGTATTATATTAATCATAATGTTGTCCTTTGTTCTACTTGCAGTATAATGCACCACTTAATGCAATTATAATGTTGTTACTTAGTGCTCCTTGTTTTAATACTCTGCATTTATCATTTATCACATTATAATACAGATGCACCTTTTTGGAAAATGTTCTTTCATTGCCTAAAATAAAAACATAATGCTGTTAAAAAATAGATACAAATTAAAATCAAGACACCAAACCTTTGGATGGGGGAGTAGATGATTGTCACAAGGGTCCCACATTTGTTTTTTGTCCTGGGGCCAGGTACATGGTGCAGGCTACTGCACCATGGACAAATGTAACACTTATGACATTAGTTGTTTACTTCAGAATACTTGTGTAAATATTATAAATCAAATCAGGGCCATAGTTTCCCTAATTTTGTGGATTGATGGCATATTTCGATTATCAAACTGACAGTTTATGGTCGCATTCCCTTCACATCAATCATATACTGCCTGCTGTAAAATGCTGTCTTTCAAGTTTCAATTGCTCTCATGTAATTGTTTGCAAATGCAGCAATGTAAGGCATTTAGAGCAGGTATGCCAAGCATTTATAATCATGAGTGACAGGTCCATTACCATTACCAGACTGTCACTCTTAAGTTTTACGTCGTCTGGATTTCTTTTAACCCCACCAAAATCTGTTTTCCTAACTATATATGGGGGATTTTCTCTAGCATTTTCTCATTTCTCATCCAACAAACAACGAAAAATGTGTGTTATTCCAATTTACATGTACATATATTAAAAGGTTATTTATCCAGCTTTTAAGCATTTTCAAGGCTCAAAACTGGTCTTGACATTAACTGGAAATGACAGGAGCAAAACTGGAAAAAGCACATAAACAACACAATCAGTTATTTATTAGATTTTGATAGGTGTAATTGCACATTTTTTAAATACTTGTATCATTTACAATTCCTTTGGATGCAAAACATGTTATAAAATTAATATTTGTATCCAAATGTTTATGAATAAAGCCACTTCATTTGAGCCAGTGACACAGATTTAGATTCCTGACTGGTACAGTTTCTCTTCTCAGATGTTCCTTAATGAGCACAAGCTGTCCAACTTAACCGAGATATCACACATGTCAAGATGTTTTTGTCACACTCATGACACAATAAGCTTCTCAGGGGTGCTACATTTAGGTGAACAAACAATCTACGGTAGCACCAGCAAAGAATGACGTGAATCTAAACTTGACCTACTTTGAGCCAATGGATGTTTTCAGACTGCAACTCTATCCGGCATGTCCATTGGAACTAGGCTATATGACTCAGCAACTATACTACGTTAGGAAGCATGAGTTTTCCTCTGCCCACTTTTTGTTTTTAATGTCTTATTGTTTTACACAAACAATCCAGAGATAGGAAGAATGACAAGCTGAAGAGAAAAGTAATTACACGAAGAAAAATACGACAAAAGCCCTATGAAAGGATCTGATTGTGCTTAACAGACTGAGACAAATGCCTTTATCTGAAACTGTCCTCATTCCTGTAAAAATGGCACGGCATAGCAAACTAGAGATCATATTTTGTATGACATCAAAGCAAGTCTGCATCACAGGAAGTTTAAGGTCAAAGCACTACTGGATGGAAATGTCTTCTCCAGGTCAGTTGGTGACTTGGTATTATACAAAAATGTGTTGAGGACTGATCCTTCCCACAGCAACTCTCTAAATGAAACATCAAGATGACATCTGCATCTAACAACTATAAAAATAATTAATCACAGGGTTTGTCAACGGGACTGTAGTCCCAAACGATAGCTGGGGATTATGGGTAGTGTAGTGTCTTCGGCCATCCTAAACTCAGATTTTTTTTTCGGATATCATATCGCATTAACACCATATCCCAACATGCATTGCGGCTAAAACATCCCAAGCTTCAAGCTGAGGATCTTGGGTAATCAGTTTAACGTCTACGTCTGTTTCCGGTGACTTTATTTACGGCATGCTAAAAAGCCAGAGATTAAGAATTAAACTAATAAATAAGAACAAGGATAATTGTGTGTTATTGTTGAGTAAATAACAATGTGTTATTTAGAAAAGAATACAAAATTAGAAGGAAAAAAAGATTTAAAAAAATGCAGATTTCCTTATTATGAAGCTCTGAGCCCTATTTCTTTTCCTCACAGACGACAAAAAATGTCCGACATTATACGATTTAAAATAAAAACAATAATCGTGGCTTGGTATTGAGTAAGAACATGTTTTTATGAACCACACAGCTTCCGGTCTACCAAGACCCGACGGACAAAACGTGGCGTATCATGTGCACGCAAAACTCGGCATCATATCTCAATGGGAATGGTTAGCGTATCATATGCACGCAAAATCGGACTTCTGCGTATCTATTGCATGCATTTCCAATGTGTGAAGTCGTGTCAGTTGTACGCAGACTGAAGAGAGTGGGTTGGTTTCAAATCATGCTCTTGAGTTTTAGAACAACAGCTTCCATGATGCTTTTGGGCAGTCAGAAACTCATGTGCATGCACACTTTGTCTCCCACAAACACAATGATATATGTTTTATGCAAATTTTGTCACTGCTACAGGCAATGTAATATAATAGCCACTCCCAGGTATAGATTCTTTCTTTATTTTAAATTAAGGAATTACATTTTCATCTGGCGACCACCAGAAATGATGTGCGACCCTCTTGGGGGTCTCAACCCCCAGGTTGAGAACCAATTATTTGGAACAGAAAAGTGTTGCAGTAGATTCAAATGAGTTTTTATTATTTGTTAACATTGTAGCAAATTGGCAACATTGAATTGAAGTGTTTTTAATGTACCCATGAATGTACAGACAACTATCACTGGACAGTGTGATAAGTCACAGGCAATAACTCCTTCCTTTTTTTCGAGTTATGACTAAGGAACAGGAATTTTAAGCAAAACGTGGCATTGGGGGCTTGGGGTTATTAAGGACAAAATTGCCTGCAGCTCCAAATATGAACCGTGTTGCACTTATTAACAGGTAGAAGAACCTCTAAGGCCTTGCACCAGTGCAAAAATAATGCTTATTTGTTTGGTTTTAAGCGTTTTTTTTACTCTTTATGAGTATAGAAATCCATATTACGTCAGCTGCTCCTAAACAACACAGATACTCCAAATAGTATAAAAAAGGTGTCTTATTAAGAGATAATTTCTTAATATATGGCAAAGAAAAAGTGAAAGTGATGTAACCAACCGTATGGTGTTTGAGGAAGATTCATGGTATACACACAGAGCTGTCATGCATGTTCGATAAAGGCAAAGCGGTGATGGTTGTGCATCCATCAACAACTGAAAGGCTTTTCAGATAAGTGATTGATAGCTGCAGGCCAAATTTCAAAGGTCAGGGTTTAGATGGGTCACATGGGCAGTCACCTGCATGTAGGGAGCTGATAGATTGAGCAAGTTATGTCATGCGGTGTGTGCAGGAATGGATTTTTAACTGTGAGAAACTTGTGTAGAAGACATTAGTGACGTACAAGCCGAACAAAACGTGTGTTGTATGCAAGCGGTCAGCTGAATGGAGCAGCATGCCCTCGAATCACTGAATAAGAGTTAGTCATGGGCACATACAAATAAACTTTGAAAATGTGATTTAAGGCTGTGACAGTGCACTACAAAGACTTGTGTGTGGAAGCAATGGGGATTAGCTAAACTGAGGCTAGCTTCTCCTCAGTGTCAGGGACGCACAGTCATATTTTTGTTTTGTTATAAGGTTTCCTGTAAAGATAAACAATATTTTTTTTTCGAAGTCCTTTCAAAGTAAAATAAATTAGCACTTTTAAAAGAGAATGTCCTTGCATGAAGAATGACATTTGTTTATATCCCATGAATAAGAATGTTTAGGTAAGGTTAGGAGAGGATTACTTCTTTAAAGCTTTACTTTTATATTTTGTGTTCTGCAGGAGTTTTTCTGAAAATACATGAACATGTTTTGTGATCATTGCAAAAGAAATGCTTCCGCATCAACAGTACAAGAGATTTAGGGAATATTACCAGAGTTTGTATGGCTATCTCTTTTAAGAATCAATTATATTGCTAACTTTGGCCTAAATGCATAAAAATAAAAAAAGTTAAACAAGATTTTATGGTGCACAATACACTGAAAATGTGCTCGTTCAACATTGTTTTATATTGCCATCTCTGTATGACTAATATGTGTTTGGTCAACACAGTCTCATTCCCTGACGCAGCGTCCACACGGCGGCGTGCGTTGAAGGTTGCCAGTGGGCGTGTCTGAAACTCGACCAACAACCAATCACATGAATCTCCCTCCCCGGACACACTAAGCACGCACTGTAGGGGTTTCACCAACTAATCGACTAGTCGACTACCTTTACCACTAGTCGGCGCTGTAGGCCCTAGTCAACTAGTCGTGAAAAAAATGGAGGTAAACGAGGTGCTGCAAAATGCTACAAAACACGTCCGACATTCTTATGTATGGCAGTACTTCAACGAAGATGTAACCAACTCCACAGTGAAGTGTCAGCTGTGTACAGCTGTACTGAAGTACAATACAAATGCATCTGCTATGCGCAAC